TGTGGGGGGTGGTGAGAGCCGGGGATCCCCCATGACAGCTGTACAGGGCTGTGTCCCCCATGAGCAGCTCCTACAGCTTCCTCCCCCTCGGGCCTCCGTGATGTCCCTTTGAGCATCCTTGTCCAAACCCCACCCCAGGTGAGATGTATTGCAGCTCAAGTCCCCCCTCTCTGGCCTCCACAAGTCTTTCCTCCTGGCCCCGGGGGAGCATCACCAAGGTGTTGGGCAGACGCCTGTTTTCTGGGACTCACAAAGGGAGCGGCCCAGCAGGTGCTGATGTCACTGTTTCCGTCCCTCAGCACCGCCCTCACCACCCGGCTCCTCCAGCGGGAAAAGGTGGACAGGAGGGGGCTGCCGCCCTTTTGTTACAGGTGAGGCAGCGGACACACACGGAGGAAAGGTGACTTTCCCGAGGTCACCCAACCTGCCGGGGGCCTTCGCTGCCCGGTGCCGCTGGGAGCATCAGGGCCTGGGGCACACCGTGGGGCTGGGCAGGAGCAGAGGCAGGATGGAGGAGAGCCCCCCTCACCGGCCCCACCTGTGCCCTTGTCTTGCAGAGCGCTGACTCGGCTCCCCAGACCTCAGCAGGATGGAAGGTAGTGAGTCTCTTCTTTGCTGCTCATTGCCTGGGCCTCAGTGTGCCCATCTGTTAAGGGGGCGTGCTTTCAGGAGACATTCTGGGAAGGGTTGGGGGAGGTTCTGGGGCTGCCAGAGGGGCCCGTCTGGGAGCCTCCGACATCCTCCTCAGGCATCTCACGGGATGCGCCAGCTCCAGGATTAATTTCAGAAGCGATGAGGCCTCCTTGAGGCTCCTGAGGGCCCCACAGCTCACCTCCTACACTGGTATTTATAGAGCTGAATCCCTGCCTCTTTCTAGAAAGGGTGGGCGCTAGCAAGGGGAGGCTAGCCCTGGGGAGAGGCCCCAGGTGTGTAAATGCCAAGCCTAACAAGGACGAGGCAGCGCCCAGCGCCTCTGTGGGACTCAGTCTCCCCGTTGTCCAGAGAGGGTGGGTCTTGAGGATGTCTGGGGCCCTCCTGGCTGCTATGGGCTGGGACCTGGAGGGAGACATGGGGCCAGCAGGGAGCCTGGCGGGCCCGCCTCCTGGCGGCATCATGGCCCCATCCTTGGCGTTGTGCCTCAGCCTGGGTGGCCCTTAAAGGAGCCCGCTGCTGCCGCCCGAGCCGGTGGTCACCCTGCCACCCCTCGGGCTCCGAACAGCAGCTGCCGCCGGGCTGTGGCCTCCCCCACCTCCAGGTGGTAGCCGGCCCACGGCAGGCAGCTGATGGGAGCCCTCAGGAGAAGTTGTTCTACAGATAACTCCTCTGGGTTTCCAGCCTTGGGGCCAGAGGGCCCCTGGGAGCTGCCAGGCCTTCGTCAGTGGGGAGGGACAGAGAGCCAGAGAGGGCCGGGGACTCCTTTCCTAAGGTTCCGCAGTGAGGACCTTCTTCTCCCCTGAGAAGAGGGGAAGGCCGGGCCGCCTGGGAAGAGGGCCCAGCTTCCGGTTCTGGGTCTGGCGCCCTTGGAGCAGGCCTCAGTTTCCCTCCGTCTGGTGAGGCTGTGGTCCTGCTGAGTTCTAAGGGCGGGGCTGAGGCGGGAGCATCAGCGCACCTCCCACTCTGGGCAAGGGTTCTTTGTGCCCAACGCAGCCGGCTTCCCTGGCAACCGTCTCCGGGGCAACGTATGTTGTGGTTGCCGACTCCACGTTTGAACCGCCCAGGCCCAGGGAAGGCGGGCGATGGGCAGGCCTGGGGTCTGGGAGGGAAAGGGTAGGGGACACAGCAGAACGGGAACCATGGGGGCCTGCTGCGTGAGAAACCTCCACAACACGGAAGATTGTAAGGCCAGAGGTGACCCGCCCTTGCCCAGCCGCCCACAGGGAGGGGCTGCGAGGGTGGGCGTCCGAGCCCCTCAGAGGCTCCAGGCTTTAGAGGGCCCGGCCCAGGCCTGTCCCTCCCGAGGTGCTGTTTGCCAAGCGAGTGACTGAACTCTGCTCCCCTCTTCTCCCCCACAGAGAAGCTGAAGAAAACCAAGATCATCTTTGTGGTGGGTGAGTCCAAGGCAGGCGGGGAAGGCGGCCAGCAGGGAGGCTCTTTGCAGGCGTCGGTGGGAGCCTGGGCCTGGGGTGGCACCCCGGGGCGCTGCCCCTTCTCTGCGGGGTGACCCTATCCCTGCGGCGGCCCCATTTCCTGGGGCTTCTGAACGGGTGGGCGCTTGCAGGAGGGCCCGGCTCCGGGAAGGGCACCCAGTGTGAGAAGATTGTCCAGAAGTACGGCTACACCCACCTCTCCACCGGGGACCTCCTGCGGGCCGAGGTCAGCTCGGGCTCGGCCAGGGGCAAGATGCTGTCGGAAATCATGGAGAAGGGGCAGCTGGTGCCACTGGTGAGTGGGCCCGGTGGGGTGGGGGGTGACGGTGGCCCTGAGTGGGCTCCAGCCAGCAGAGCCCATGACACTCTGCCTTGACCTTCCCTGGCTCCAAACACTCCTGGCTTTGGTCCTCATGGCCCTCAGCAGAAAATTCCTTCTAGAAGCTCCCAGAGCCTCTAGGACCCTGCCCTGCTGACCCCTTTAGCCTCACTCCACCCACTCAACCCCCCTCTCCCCAGCTCTCCGCCCTCCAGCTGCCCTGGCCTTTCTGTCCCGTCCAACTCATTATATTCCTTCCTGCCTGGAATGTTCTTTCCTCCTCAGCTTTCAGACCCTCCTGGCTCCACAGATTTGGGCTCAGACCCCCTAATTTTATCACTCCTTCTCTGCCCATTCAACCTGTGCCATGTTTGGAAATTGATGAACCGGCCTCACCACACTGTGAGCTTCTTGAGAAAGGCCTGCTTTGTTCACAGTGGTGTCCTCAGAGCCCTGGACGGGAGCTGGCGGGGAACAGGGGCTCCATCGATATTATTGAATGAATGAACGAATGGGTGAATGAATGATTTAATCAGCCAGTCAAGCCTTCACATTCAAAGGAAGCTTCCTGGAGAGAGAGGCTTGTTGGGAACTTCTTTATTAGGGCAGAGGCCTAGAAGAAGGCGGAGGGAGAGGGGCTCATGACCCCTCCATCTTTTCCGGTGCCCCCAGGAGACAGTGTTGGACATGCTCCGAGATGCCATGGTGGCCAAGGTAGATACTTCCAAAGGCTTCCTGATCGATGGCTACCCTCGGGAAGTACAGCAGGGAGAGGAGTTTGAGCGGAAGGTAAGTGCAACTTGGTGGGTGCACTTGGGAGCTGTGATGTGTGCAAAATGGGAAGACACAGTTGGCAGCTGCCTTAAGGAGGAGAATGGAGATTAGAGAGAATGTACCCTCCAAAAGTGGGGCTTGGCACCTTAGGAACACAGAGGGCCAGGGAGTGGGAGGGACAGGGCTGGAAGGCTCCAGCTGGCATGGGGAGAAGAGAATCTATGGGGCAGGGCAACCAGGGTGATGTGGGAGAGGCGATTCAGGCCTGGCTGGAGGCCTCCAGTGCCAGGGAGGGGAGTCCAGTCTCCTTCTGTGGGCCGCGGGGAGTCTGTGCAAGGCCTAGAAAAAGTAGGCCTTGAGGATGACGGCCCCGAGTTGCCTGAACAGCTTCCCACCAGGAAAACAGGGTGGGGGCACCTCTCCCAGACATACGCACACAGGCCCCAAGCACACGCACGTGTGCGTGCACATACACAGCACAAAGCCACAGGCACATACACACATGCACACAGGCACGCATACATGTGCACACACGTCTGGCAACGCACACACATGTACGTACATGGACACAGCTCACTGATACACAGGGATATACACATACGCACACACGTGGGCACACACACATACACCCACGCCTCCGGTGTCACAGGTCATACTAGGGAAACAGGGCTGCAAGCAAGTGCAAGGGTGGGGGCTGGGCTCAAGGAGGTTTTCTTGGCAGAGGGACTCCTCCCTGGCCTTGTGGGGAGGACCAGACCCCCAACCCCCACTTCCCAAGCCTGTGATGCTGGGGCCACCTTTGGGCTTCCATAACTTTGAGCCTCCTCCAGTGGAAGGAGATTGGATTTCCTGACCTTGAAGTGCCCGCAGGACCTCAAGAAAGTGTCTACCCTGCTCTGGGCCTCGGTTGCCCTGTCTTTGAAATGGAAGCGGGCTGGGCTTCCTTCAGACTGGGAGGCCATGGACCCTGTGGTCAGGTGCTAGGCAGCCTCAAGGCACGTCCTGTCATGACCCACCCATACCAGCTGTGTGACGTCACCTCTGACCCTCAGGGCCACATCTAGAAAATGAGATTACTAAAAGTCTCCTTCCTTCCTGGGGCTGTTGGGGGCGCCACTGTGGGCGGTGGGCTCAGCGCAAGGGCCCAGCCCTGCCATGGGCTCCAGGGGTCCTGGCAACACGTCTTCTCAGATCTGGACACCAGGGGGCATCAGGGCCTCACCGAAGGAGGACAGGTCAGCCTCCTTCCTTGCCCTTCCCAGCTTATTCCAACAACAGTGACGTTATTCAGAACCCCCCAGAGCTCGGCAGCCCGTCACCCCCCAGTCAAGTCCTGTCCAGCCCTGCTGTGTCAGACAGATGCCTTGATGTCCTTAGGGGCTCCTGGACTGGCAGGGGAGAGGGACACTGAGTGAATCACCAGAGGCCTCCTGAGACATTCTGGGCGGAGAAGTAAAGGGGACTCGAGGGTGTGCCCCAGAGGGCTGGGGACGGTGGGCGGGGTGGGGGGGCGTGGGTTGCATCTGGGCAGACTGCCCCAGAGGAATGAGATTTTAGCTCAAATCTGAAAGCAAGTACTTGGGATTGAGGATGAGGATTCTTGGTATGAGCGAAGGCCTGGCTTGGGAGGAGGTTGACGAGAGCCTAGACTTCAGAGAA